TGTGCTCACTAGAAAAACAGAGACAGAGAGACAGAAAGCGAGAAATCACCCCCCAGGGGGGATGGTCACACCACAATCCCTTCTCCTCTGTTCTCTCGGGATCTTGGGCACGCACACATGCCCGGCGTGAGTTTAAGCCACCAGGTCTGGGACGGGAACCGTGGTCGGCTACGTGGGAGTCCAGCGACAGCCATTACACTAACTGCTGGTCCCCTCCCCTGTAATCTTGCACATGGCAGCACAGTTCCATGGAGAAAGCACAAGAGCCTGGAAGGTCTGCACAAGGGAGTCTGTTGTCCACCCTTTGTGTTCCTTCTTTTCCCCTGGTATCTTAATCCCTTCATGTTTGTTTATTGCGTTTCAAGAAACCGTTTTTTATGAAAACTTATTGTCACACAAGACAATGTCAGCATCATCTGGAGGACTTTCCTTTTCTTCAGCCGGGAACCTGGAGAGTGAAATCTGGGATCCCATGAACCACCGCAGGCTGGCTCCTGGGTCTTCACGATGGCTGGAGTCTGGGCTGCAGTCCCGGCCAGGGCTGGCTGACCCTGCCTCCCCAGGGCCGTGGGGCCTGCCTTCTGCCAAGGCTCGGGCTGCCAAGGCACCGCTGGAGGGCAGCACCCCTTCCCATTCTGCCCTGCCCCGAGGCTGATCAGAGCAATTCCGTTTCTCACGTGACGTGTGTGTACATAGGTTGCAAAGGTGGACCCCAAATTGGGATTTGTGATTCACCTCTCAGTTTTCGTAGTACTACAGATTTTTCCTGCGTATTCTTCAATATTTTATAAAATATACAGTGCTTTTTAAAAAGTTTATTTATTTATTTTTTTCCATGAGTGAGAGAGAAATAGAAAGAAAAAAAAAAGATCCCTGAAAAGGCTGTGATACTGTGAGCCACCCCCTCCTCAGCCAGGACCACAGGCACGAGTGTGCCCCGCGGACTCTCAGGGCTCCGGGCACAGACCCTCCCCAGCTGTGTGAGCCTCACGGAGCACCGTGTCCACCGCTGTTCACAGTCGGGCCCCTCCTCAGTGCTTTCAGCACGTTTCCCCCTGCGGTGTCCAAGGCGACTCTCGGTGGTGGGTTGTCCAAGTGGCCTCACACCACTGCTGGAAGGGCCGCTGGGTCATGTCCTTCTCTCTTAACTCATCCTGACACCGCTGTGTATATACATAGACGTGTATGTACTGACCATTCAAATAAATTAGTTTTCTTTAAGGAATGGCCAGTTAGTAAGCTTCATGTGCTCTCTAAAATTGCGCTAGTTTGATGAAGTATTCTGGCCATATAAATAATACGAAGTAGTTATCACAGCCAGTCCTATTACATTATAATTAATCAATGAAGTCCATGAATAACTCATGATGTAAACTTCAAAGCATACATTAGTAATATGAGAAATTAGATAGCACTTAATGTAGTTAGAAGAGCAAAGGACCTTGGTTCAAATTGCAATTCTAACTTATACCAAGTTTGATTTAATTATTAAGCTAACTTATTTCTTCCTCTTCTTTTCTTCTTTTCTTCTCCTTCTTCTTTTTCTTCTCCTCCTTTCTTTCTTTTTCTACAGGGCATATGTGCTCACGAGAGAGACAGAGAGAGAAAGAAAGAAAGTGGGAAAATAAGAAATCACCCCTCTCCCTCTCAGGGAGATGGCCACTCTGCAATCTCCTCTCTTCTACTCTCCTCTCAGAATTTTGGACATCCATGCACATAAACCCAGTATGATTTTCTTTTTTTTTTTTTCTTTTTTCCCATTTATTTATTTTTACATTTTTCAAAATTCACTTTACATATCAAAAAATTGTGGCTCATACTCCATAGTTCTTGAGAGTTAATAAACAACTTTTAAAATTTCAAGCTACTGAATTTTAAACATAATGTTGAAATATTTCTTATAATTTTGTTTGCGGCTTGATAACAATAGAGATGATATGGTTTTAAATATTTTTGAGAAAATATTTAGATGTCAATTACTCTAATTGTTGGAAAGCAATGTCCAGCACACACGTTAACCTTCAGGAATGACATTGCAGTCAAAGCCCTGTCCAATAATGAGTATGTCCAATTCTGATTTAGTGCAACAAGCATTATTAAACTTATGCAAATAACCCTTCTGCCACAAAATAAGAATACTCCCAAATACTTCCAATTCCAGAGGGGTCAGGAAGGAAGAAAGTTTATGTTTCCATTTAAAGAAACAAACAAGAAAAATATCTTAGCAAATTGCTGAACATATCAACAGCTCAAAAGAAAGTAAAATGTTTAAATTGGGAAAACAACGCATAGTAAAAAAAAAAGAAATCAGTAATGTTTTACTCAAAAGTCGTAAAATTCTATTTTGCGATTTCAGTCTTATGTTCAAACTCTCTTCTGTTGAATATGCAAGTGTGGCTGTGGTCCAATCTTTCCGTTTAAATCCTGGAAGTGAACATTCAACGTTATTGTTGATATTTGTTGTCCCTAGCATTGAATTGGTCATTTTCTTGGTTGTCTTTTGTTCTCTTATTTCTGTATGTGTCTTTAGTTTTCCTGGTAGAGCACTCCTTTCAGAATTTCTTGAAGAGTGGGTGTGATATTGGCAAATTTTTTCAGGTCTTGTTTATCTGAGAATGTTTTTATACTTTTTTTCCATATGAAAGATAATTTTGCCTGGTAGAGTATTCTTGGTTGAAACTGTTTTTCACTTAACACTTTGAATATATTTTCCCATTCTTTCCTTGCTTGCATTGTTTCTGATGAGAAGTCTGAGGTTAGCCTGATTGGATAACATTTATAAGTAACCTGATGTTTCTCTTTTGTCAATTTTAGTATCTTGTCTTTTTCTGTAGATTTGGCCAGTCTGGTTATGATATGCCTTGGAGAAGATCTTCTTGGGTTGATTCTATTAGGAGACCTTTGTATTTCTCGAGGCTGGATATTAGAATGCCTCTCTAGATTTAGAAAATTTTCTTACAAGAGTTCATGGAATCAATGCCCTTATTAGTTTCCTTGCTTTCAGGGATAACAGTTATCCAGATGTTTGGGTGCTTAATGCTGTCTAGTATTTCTTGTATAGTATTCTCCTTTTTTGGGGTTATTTTATCAATTTTTTGGTTGTTTTTTTCTAGTTTTGCCTTCAACATCTGAGATTTGATTTTCTGCATGGACTAATCTGCTTTTAATACTTTTGAGAGAGGTTTTGATTTCCTGAATGACAGCCTTCGTCTCTAATAGCTCCATTTGATTCCTTTTTATGGTGTGTATTTCCTCTTTCAGATCATGAAGAACTTCAACACCTCCTGGAACTCATTGTCTCTTTTCTCCTGCATCTTCTGGAGTTCATTATCTCTCAGCTCTTGTATCTCATTTAGTTTTTTCACCACGAATATTCTGAATTCTCTATCAGACATTTCCACGAGTTCTACTGCACAGTGTGTGGATGATGAGGGATTGTTCTTTTCCCTTAGAGGAGAGAGATTTTCTTGATTTCTTATGTTTCTTGTGCCTCTGTGGTGATTTCTGGTCATGCTGTGACAAAACCTCTCCTCCACTTGTCAAAACATTTTGGGAGTCTAGGAGATGGAGCCTAGAGCATAGCTTCTCTGAACACGCCAGGACACACCTCAGCTTTAAAATGGCTTCTTACCTAAATATTTTGGGAATCTACCACCCAGTATGATTTTCTAGCCACTGGGTCCAGGACTTGAACCATGGAATCAGTATATGGGATCCAACCACCTTAACCTCCTTACCACCTGCTGACCTCAAACTAAATTTTTTCTTTAATTTGTTAAATCAGAGACTTTATATCTCAGAGGCTTACTCTATGACAAACTGAGATAAAAACATAATGTAAAATGTAATTATTTTAGAGTAAATACAGTCTAATGGAAAGAAGATGGAATCTATAAATAAACAGAAGTTTATTTCAAATTCCAGTGATGTAATTTGTCAACTGTGACCACAGTAGTGTGGTGTAACAAGCTACCAGGATTCGGTGGGCTTCAACAATAGGTGTTTACTTCTCTCTGCCAGTGAGCTGGCTGCTGAGGCGAGAGTGGGTGAGCTGGGTCCAGGCCAGGTGGGCTCTGGCCTGCTCCACCATCTGCCTCACGCATGCACTTTTTATAGCAATGGTAGAAAACGTGTATACGATACCAAGCCTGACTGCTTGTGCCATGGACATCAGTATTTTACTGGTCACAGCCCAAAGTAAATAAATAAATAAAAATAGCAGAATAAATGAAAACCTAGGAGGGAAAAAAGAATTCAGCCATCCTTAAAACCACGGTAAATGATCGGAGCTGGGATGAGATCCTCCCACAGAGAATTGTAGCAAGAGAAATGAGTGACGTGTGGACACATTGCCAAGAAGGTGTAATAAATGTCATCAAATGTAAAACGTGTGCATGGAAACAGAAGAGAGCAGTGGCTGTCAGCAACGACTTTCCTGCAGAACTCGTCTGCCCGTGTTTGGGAGCTCGGGGCAAGAGGGTGGATGGGCGAATACTCGCGTGTGCTGTGTTCTCGAGAGACCAGTGATGAGATGAGGGGTTGCTGACCTCCTCTGTCCAGCGCAGGGGAGGCGTGGCGCACCCCCAGTGCCAGTCACATAGGGCGTCTGTCTTCCACTGGTCGGCTCTGCTCACCTGCGCGGTCTGTGTCTGGAACCCACTCCTCTGTGATAAAATGCCACTAACCGGGAAACGAATGGGATGACGCAGTGGAGTCGATTACAAATAAGAATTTTTTATAGTAGGGACTGGTAGAAAGTAGGGAGTGTAATTCACATCGACCGGATTGCATAAATGAGCACACACGTGATAAATGCTCGAGAAATATACATGAACTGGGGAGAGGTCCGCACTCACTTATTGAAGATCAGTCTGGTTCAACGTACTTTCTTGTATCAATTAGTTTGATAACTTTACAAGAGATAGCACAAGATATGCAAAGTTCACATGCGCTGTCCAGAGTACTGTTTTGACAGTTCCTAATATGCAATTTCCCTGCAGATCGTCTACATGGGCTGGTGTGAAGCACGAGAACAAGACCCTCTACAAGACCGAGTGTACTCGCCGTCTTTTCTTGCCCTCAGGGGTTCGTGTCTTTACAAGTTCCTAGCACCTCCAGTAAGTGTTTTGATCCACACGTACCCCTTTATCCCATGTTGTCAGAACAGACTGATGTCAACTTAACAATGCCATGCAGCATATTCCCAGTATGTATTACGAGTCACATGCCGGGACGTCGCCAGACTCCCACATAGTCAACCACAGTTCGGGTCCTGGACCCGACAGCTTAAAATTCACACCGGATGCTTGTGTGTGCATGCCCAAGATCCTGAGAGGAGAGTGGAGGAGAAGGGATAGCAGAGTCCCATCCCTCTGGGGGTGATTTCTCACTTGATGTCTCTCTATCTTTTTGGTGAATACAATGACCCTATAGCAAAAATCTTAAAAAGAAGGAGAGAGAGACAGTGGTACAGCCGTAGCAGGATGCTCTGCGGTGGTAGACCCACATGAGGGGGACCCGGGCTCACATCCCGGGCTGGCCAGGGCTCAGAGTGGGTCATGGCATGAGGACTCTGCTGGGGGCGCCTGTCTTCTGTCTCTGTCTCTTTTTTGGAAGAAGTAATCAAACTGAAAAAAATTGAAGATATGGAAAAAGTAGAAAACAGTTTGGATTTTTCTAAAATAACTTGCTAAGATATGTGTTCTGGCATTCACTGTAAAGTCTTTGAAAAATCTGGAAGGTATTTCTGTTTAGATGAGAGAGCAAATCCGAGAAATAACAGAATGGAGGAGAAGGGATTGTGGCGTGACCATCCCCCCTGGAGGGTGATTTCTCGCTTTCTGTCTCTATGTCTCTCTCCGTCTGTCTGGCGAGTGCATGTGCCCTGTAGCAAAAACCTCTCAAAAAAAAAAAAGAAACATTTCTTAGTATATATTAGTGCATGCTGCTAGTTGAATAAAAAATAAAGACGTAAATTAAGAGAAGAAGAAAAGTGGAATAATCAGTGAGTTTAAAGATTCATTTACATTACTTAACATGTTTATTAATCTCTTATTCTCAAAGAGACTTTTAAGAGCCCTTTTAGGGACTAGCAGTTAGCATAATGGCTATATCACTGGACTCCCATGGAGCTGACTGTGGTTCGAATCCTGGACCCAGTGGCTTAAACTCATACATGACGCATGTGCATGTGTACCCCAGATCCCAAGAGGGGAATGGAGGAGAGGGGATTGCGGCGTGGCCATGCCCCCTGGGGGATGATTTTTTTGCTTTCTCTCTCACTGTCTCTCCCTGTCTGTCTGGCTAGTGCACGCACCCTATAGCAAAAACCTCTCCTAAATAAATAAATAAGCCCTTTTAAATTTATTTCACACTTTTAACTACCAGTAGTATGTTTTTAACTTACATTTAATTTGTTTTTAGTAAGTAATAAATTAACCTCAAAATGATAGTGTTCTTTCCAGTTAACATTAAATCCGTCCCAATCTTAGCCAGACTGCTGGGGTGATGCAAGTTTAAATCAGGCAATTCTATCCTTGGCAAAAATCAGAAATAGGGGTTGGGGAACTGGCACTTAGGACTCCACAGTGGATCTGCGTTGGGCAGGTCACTCTAGATCAAGCGAGTGCATTTCTGATAACGAGTTCCAGTTCCTGGGGCGTGCACTACGGAAGGCCACGTACAACATTGAGAGCCCTGCCTTTGGAAGCACGTGCAGAACTGTAGATGCTCAGTCAATGTTTGTTGAATACAAGTACCAAATGCCAACCATTTAAGTGTTGGTCTAATAATACAGAGGGTCTAGGGGTGGTCATTTCTGACTCACTGGTATTTTGAATGTCTGCATCTGTACAAAGGTCAAAGCACCAGGAAGACAGGAAAGGAAAAAGTACACATCAATATTTATATATTTTTCTTGATTCCTATGAATAGACAAGAAAACATATGTTTCAATCACAAGTAAGAGAAACCGCCTTACTGCAGTGTTGGCATTTGCACAATGTCATACGACATCTTGGAATGACATTTTTTACAAATGATGTATTTTTAAACATTAAAATCAGGGTCCAGCAGATGACATAGCGGTTACGTCACTGGACTCCTACATGCCGACCGTGGTTTGACTACCAGGCTCAGTGGCTTGAAACTCGTGACAGCCGTGTGTGCGCGCGCGCGTGTGTGTGTGTGTGTGTGTGCGCGTGCGCGTGTGTGTGTGCCCAGGGTCCCAGGAGGAGAATAAAGGAGAAGGGATTGTTGTGTGGAGATCTCCCCAGGGAGTTTAATGTCTCACTTTCTCTCTCACTGTCTCTGTCTCTGTCTCTCTGTCCAGCAAGCACATACACCCTAAAGCATAAACCCCTGGGGGGGAGGAAAGAACTAACACTAGTGTGGATACCTAGTATTCTTTGTAGCTGATGGTAAGCTGAGGAAAAGAGATATATGTGTGAAATGAGAATACACTTATATGTAGAGAATACATGAATTATTTAAAATATGTGAAGACTTTGGGCAAATGAAATTGTTGCATATGGCATAAAATGGTTGCTGAAGGAGGAAGAGAAATAGTGGTCAAGCTTAAGCAGAGGAAAGTAAAATACTATACAGGGGCCTTTACAAGTCTAAATTCAAAATTTACAAATTAAGTACTTGCATCTCTGACAATTTCACTTACTATGCAGAAGGAAATAAGAGGGAAATAAGGGCTTTCTTTTTAAAAACAAACGACCGATTATGTTTTTCGTCTTTCAAAGGTGACCACTTGGGACTGGACCCGAGCAGAGAAAACATTCTCAGTTTACGAAATCATGTGCAAGATTCTCAAGGTATGATCAATAAGCAGTCATCTTTCAAGGGTGTTTCCTCAACAAACAGTGGTTCTGGGCTTCCAAATAGCTCAGAAAAACGAATAATACATAAAAATATAAGTTTTTACTCACCACTTTACTTGACCCATAAGAGTGATACGTGTTTGTGGAGAGCAGTGCGGTCTCTTGCTAGACGGACACAATGCGCGGTGATGGCAGGAGGGCAGGAGGCAGACCGCCATCCCGGACAGTCGCCTTCACTGTTGTGCGGTGGTCGTTTACAATCCTCTCTTCTAGCTGTTCAAGATAGACCTCGAGTTGCCACGACCTCTGCTTTCTCTCCTGCGCTATATTACTCTGGGAGGCGTTCCACTCACCTGCTTGCTCGCTGGTACCCAGCAACCCACCCCTCCCTGTCCTGCCCATCTCCCTTTCCTCTCCGGCTTTATTACCCACCATTCCACTCTCCATGGCTAAGCAATCCGACCTCTTATCTTCCAATAAGGGAAAAAGCATGGGGCACTTTTTCAGGTGCCTGGCTTATTTTACTCGGCATGATTTCCTCCAGGCTGATGTTCAGGAGGAAGAAAGTAGACCCTTTATAGACCCCTATTTCTCTACAACCTAAACCATTAGTCCTTTTTTTTTTTTTTTTTTTCTGCGTGAAATACAAAAGAGAAAGATTTCAGTGGGCCTGAAATTAGAAAATACAGACGACATCAAGACAAATACAGAGAAAGGTTTTGTTTGTTTTTGTTTTCTACTTTTTTTTTTTTTGAGAGATTTTCACTGTAGGGCGCGTGCGCTCGCCAGACAGACAGAGAGAGACATAGAGACAGAAAGCGAGAAATCACCCCCCAGGGGGGATGGTCACGCCGCAATCCCTTCTCCTCCATTCTCCTCTCGGGATCTTGGGCACGCACGCACATGCGCCCGGCGTGAGTTTTAAGCCACCGGGTCCGGGACACGAACCATGGTCGACTACGTGGGAGTCCAGTGACATAGCCATTACGCTAACTGCTGGTTCCCTCTACTTTTGTTTTTAATTTCATGGTTTGACTGAGTATGGAAAAGAATATACAAATGTCATAGATGGATTAAATTTCTGTGATAGCAGGAGAGTTGCAATTGCAAATGAAGAGTTCTATAAAATTCCCAATTCATTTTGCACTCTTTTTAAAGCAGTTCAAAGGGGAATCATTTCTAGAACATGAAGAATGATCCACATTCAGTTCCTACTCTAAGGTTTGCAGGCTTGGAAGTGCCTCAGATTAATAAAATTCTTGCTTAAGGTTGACCTTGTTTCTACCAATGAAAATGGAGTCCCCTGGGCTTTCTATTAGTTATTTCTCTTCCAGCTAAAGACTCAGTAGCATAGAAAATGCTGGAACATTTACAGTATAATGAAATGTATCAAAAGTGTACAAAAGCAGAGAGACAAAAAATATGACTGCCTGAAAGTGTCCATAATTTTTCTTCCTTACCAAGAACTTTAAAGCTGAAGTTCTCTGTAGTGCAAAAATCTTAAAAAGTTGATCATTTATTACTGTTTATGGATGAATTTTATTGTGAACCTAATGATGGAAAACAATCCGAAAGGCTTGAGTTTGTTAGTAAAGGAGATTCTGGCAATTCCTAAAATGTGTATCACCATTTGAGGATAACGAGATAAAATCCAACTCCGGTTTTTTAAAATAATTACCAAAACAACTAATGAAATAGTTTTCTAAATGTATAATTTTGCAGAAAGGGCTAATGAAATTGGAAAGAAGAACAAAAGAAAGGAAAAAAAAAAAAACAAGGAGGGAAGGAAGGAAAGAACCACATCAACAAGTCTGTTTTATTTTTCCATTTCTTGTTCATCCACTCAAAACTTTTTCATTTAAGAATATAATATTTCTATATTTTATTTATTTTTATTTCACAACCATTCATGGAGTAGGTACATGATATTCATAAGCTCCTTTTTATTTTTAAAAATATATATTTTAGTATTTTTATACATTCAATCACTGTATATCATTACAGCACACAAAATGAATTTTCCCAGCATGAATGCATTGTGTATTAGTACAGTTAAAGCTATTGTCATATACATTATTATCAACAGATAGTTTTCCATTTTTGTGTCCCTTAGATGTTTTGTTTTTTTCTTTTTTCCCTTGACTCCCTTCCTCTCACATCCCCCCATTACCCACCCCCCTCCCACCCTGTCTCTGGGATCCAGAATTGTTATCTTCCAATCTTTCAGTTTCTGCTATAAAGTGCAGACATTCGGTATACATTGAAGACATACAATGTCTCTCTTCTAGACTGGCTGGTTTCACTTAGAAATAGCTTCCATATGTGTCCACTTTCTATCAAATGTAGAGTCTTATGTTTTACAGCTGAGTAGTATTCTGTAGTGTATATGTGCCACAGTTTTTCAATTCATTCCTCTGTTTGCGGACATTTGATTTGGTTCCTTTCTTAGTAATTGTGAATAATGCAGCAATAAACATGAGTGTGCAAGCACTTTTCTGATTGATTATTCTCCTGTCCTTTGGGTATATACCCAGGAGTGGGATTGCTGGATCATATGGTAGTTTCATTTGTAGGTCTTTGAAGAACCTCCATATTGTCCTCCACAGTGGCTGGACTAATTTACATTCTCACTAACAGTGTAGGAAAGCTCCCTTTCCACATAGCCTTGCCAGCACTTTTCATTGTTTTTTTTTTAATCTTATCAGCCATTCTGACTGGGGTTAGGTGGTATCTCATTGTGGTTCTGATTTACATCTCCCTTATGATAGGGATGTTGAGCATTTTTTTATATGTGTTTTGGCTGTTTATATGTCTTAGAGAGTTTTCTGTTCATTTTCCTATCTTTTAATTGGGCTGATAATTTTTTCTTTTTTTTTTTTTTGTTTTTGTTTTTGTTTGTTTGTTTTGGTAAACTGCTTGAGCTGCTGTATATTCTGGTTGTTGTCAGAATACAGGTTGTCTTTGTAAACTACATTTAAGATGTAGTTTACAAATAAGTTCCCCCATTCCAAGGGTTGTTGATTCACTCTAATTCTTGTTTCTTTTGCTGTGCAGAAGATTTTCAACCTGATGTAGTTCCACTTGTCTATTTTGGGATATGGCCTATGCTTTTGGGGTCTTATTTAAAAAGTCTTTGCCTTTGCTGATGCCTCCAAGAGTTTATCCTGTGTTATCCACAGCAGTTTTATAGTTTGAGGTCTTAGGTAACCTCCTCTTAAAAAAAGTTTTTAAACATTACAAAAAAATCTGGTTTATTACAATTCCTTAAGTAAAGGTCATTTTAAATAGAGAATAGAAATTATGTCTTGCTTCATCAATATATACAAACACTTAACTTTTTATTTCTCTTTGTTAAAATATTTTTGGCAAATTTAGGATTATGCAATTCATGTTCTGCTTTATATTGTGAAATATATTGTGAGTTTTTTCTATAAATTAATATTCTTTTTTAAAAATACTATATAGTTTTTTTTTTTTATCCTTTGAGTGGTTTTGCTATAGGATGCATGCTCTCACTGAAAAGACAAAGAGAGACAGAGAGATAGAAAGTGAGAAATCACCCCCCCCCTCCCAGGAGGATGGCCACATTGCAATCCCTCCTCTTCCATTTTCTTCTCAGGATCTTGGGCACACACACCAGGCTTGAATTAAAGCCACCAGGTTGGGAATTCTAATCATGGTTGACTTCATGGGAGTCCAGTGACATAACCATTATGCCATCTGTTGGTCCCCCAAAAAACCTATACAGCTTTTTGATAGATTTTGCCTATCCCATCATTTGGTCATCTGTATTTATCTAACCCCTTATTTTTATATTTAAGTTCTTTCTCCAC